TGTACAATGACTCAGGGTAAAATGTAATGAAACAGTGAAGGAAAAAACAGCTGTTTCTGATGTTTTGAACAATAAATGTCATATATGCACTTTGTCATAGTTAGTGTTTTTCTTAAAAATGTATTAAGGTCTGATACTGCTATATCAATATATGCAGTCATGGATAAATAGATTCAGTCTGCGCCCTCTTTAGCGAGTTACAAACTGATTATTTCCTAGATGTCTTGGAGATCAGCAGGAGGAGCAGCAGTCATGATGACCTATATATTAATCTAAAAGCAAACTTTCAAGATAAACTTTTCCATTTGTGGTATTTCTGCTCTTTTGAACAAACCAAAAACAAACTTTTCAGCAGAGCCTTATACCAACTGTGAAGCAGGGTGGTAAAAATGTTCTGGTTTGCTGTTGCTTCGCTGCTTCGGGGAATGGACAGCTTTCAGTCAGTGATTCAACTACAAACTCTGCTTCATATCAAAGAATGTCTGAAGATTATTTGAGTCTGTCTAAAAGTTGAAACTGAACTGCAAGTGGATCTTTTACCAGGATATTATTAGTAAATCCACAGGGACCGGCTCAGACATGGAGGGTAATGCAATGGCTTAGTTATTTAAAAAAAAAAAAAATCAGATTTGAAGTGTTGGGTGTTTGTAATGGGCAAGAAAACTGTAAAAACATCTGCAACTAGGAGGATTTTGCCGAAGCTTGTCCACTAATAATGATGATGACGATCATGCAAACAGCTGAAGTGATTCGATATGATGCACCATATTGCCTTTTTGCACCAACACTGCAAATGCGGTGGACTAAATGAAATATTTTTACCCTAATTATGCATCACTGCGAACATCATCAGCTTAATTTCCTGGAGGAAGGTCGCCTCTTCTTTGTTATTCAACCAGCGCTCAGTATGTTAATGTTAACTTCAGATGGGTGGCTGTTTTTATGGCTGATAATAGCTGAGAGCAGCTCTGCACATCGAATCATTTCACACACTTTTGCCGAGTTTCATTATTGAATTGAAATGTGAGTTCACGCCATCTCAGGCTGCTGCTTTCATATTGCTGCTGTGTGAAAAAGAAAGTGCCATTGTAAATGTTTAATATATGAAACTAGTTTATTGGAATTAGGCTCCCCTTCAGAGTGAGTTAACACTTTGACATGCAATTAATAGGAGTACTGAGAAGCTTTAGCTGCTGCTGCACCTCAGGGTGCTTCGTTAATCAGAGCTAAAGGTGACTTGACTGCATGAGCAATATATTGTCATCTGTCTGTCTCCAAAGCTGAATTATGCTCACTTGAAATAGCATCATTTGAGGTGTCTCAACCTTCCAGCAAAGACTCAGCTTTCTCCTTTACTGCTTTCTCTAACAGCCTCATATCTAGACTTTTGAGATTAATGATACTATCGCATTCACATTAGCTTAAGTAGGTGGAATTAAATCTGTGTGAGTTATCAGACCAATTAAACATGTTGCTTTTGCTATTTTAGAAATTGGTTGCAAATATGTTGCAGTCCATCTATTTTCCCATGGGGGGGCAGCAGTGCACAGGAGTAAAGACTGAAGATGCTTCTGAATATTTTCAAATATCATTTGCTGTATGTGTCATGTAATTCTAGTTTTGCCTTTATGTGTTTGGTGGCTATCCTTTACCAAGTGGATACATTTTTTCTAGTATTGAGCTACACAAAGTGGTGAGAGAAAAAAAGGAGTGCACAATTTAAGGAGGACTCAGTAGGAGATTAGTGGAGAGAAAAAAAAACAGTAACAAAAACCAGTACATGCTCTGATTTCATCTCTCTGACACCATCCAAAATAAACTAAGGTACAACCAAATACAAGTCAAATGTAACTCAATCTACTCTTCCTAATCCCCTCTCTCTCCACTGACTACTTGGTAGAGACTAACAAGCTCACTGACTGCTGCTGGAGGCCTTTGGCTGCATTGTTATGTGTGCACTCCATGAAAGCATGCCCTAGTAAGCAGGCCTCAAACAGAAAGGGAGTAGCTGGGGTTATGAAATAAATGCACAGTATAACACAACAATACCTTTGTCTTTTTTTTCCCCACCATAGTGAGAGGGCTGCTTATCAGCTCCCACTGTTTCCGACGTTTCACAATCTTGTCAACTGAGTGGTGAACACTGTAAAACATCACCACACATATCTCACATTGTTGTACCAAGGACAGCAAGGACATCCCTGTCAGAAATGCAGAAGTCATGAAATCATTGATAACTGATGTGGCCAAAGACACACGACTGTTCACAGGACAGCTTTAAGCTGAGTTTGATATCTCCAGGCTACGGCTAATTAGGCTTATGCTAAATTATCTTTTGGACTATGATATGCAATATCAATGTCATGGCCTCCACCTGCAGCCTCTCCTCCTTCACCTGTTTCTCCTGCCCCTTTCCCTCGGTGGGCAGGTACGTGTCTGAATGAGGTGTGGACAGGTGCACATCATCAGCTGATGACCTGAGTGCCTCCCCCTGTGACGGGGTGTAGTCGTCAGTGAATTACTCACCACCTCTCTCCATAAAAGCCAGCTTCAGACCACAACTCAACGCCTGATTGTGAACTACTTACAGTTAGTTGTCCCTGGCTCTGGTCTGTTCTACTCTGAAATCCTGCACTAATCCGATCTCTTGTGCTCCAGCCTGGAACCCGCTCCGTCGCCCTGACCTCCTGGTCTGTGACTCCGTCATTCCACTACTACACTGTCCTTGTCTAAAGAAATCCTCCCAGACCACATCCACCATTGTGCTGCACCTGTCCTCCTCTTTGACCCCCTTACCTCAGCCACCGATCCCATTCCCCCCTCCTCTGCTCTCCAGAAGCCTACTATGTCCTGTTGGGTTGCTTAGTGTTGTGGCATTGTAGCGTCTAGTGTTAATTTTCATCCTGTTGCTTTTGGCATTACCCTGTTAGTGATCACACTCTTAGCTTAGTGGTACCAAGTGTGGGTTTGTGTTTTGTCTTCCTGTCTGTTAGCTTTTGCATTGTTAGCTTGTAGTTGGTCCACCTTGGCTCTTTGTGTCCCCTTTGTTGTGTTAAATTTACCCTCTACCTGATTTCTGATTCCTGTAAATATTGTAAATTATTTTGTTCAAATGCCTGGTCTGCTGTGTCGTTGTTTGCACTTGAGTTGAGTTGTTGTTTTTTTTCTGCAAACACTAAGACGGTTTTGGTTTACGGTTATGAAATGGTTTTGAAAATGATGTAAAGATAAAGCTTATTCACTCACGAAGAAATTCTTATCAGAATAAGGTGATTAATGACTCCTACATTGGACTTTGTTTAGCATCCACCAGACTGTTTCTGATCAGTGAGAGTGATTTTTTTAAAGGCCATGTGGTTTAATGATTACCAAAATCATCATGACATATAAACCTCAGTGCTCTTTGTATCACCTACCACTTCGAGTCCTTGTCGCTTAGCGCAGTGTATAATGCCAACCATTAAGAGCTTTTCAGTAGGGCTTAGTCCCGACAGCAATAGTTTAACAAATGGTGTTGTTATGGGACAAATTACATTAGAATTGTCAAAAGAATGCAAAATAGTTTCGCTCTACATAAAGCTGAAGGGAAAAGCAGAAGTCAAATGGTCGGAAAAGCACGGAAAAAGGACTGTAACATACCATAGCAAAGACAAGTACTTCAGTGTCAAGCAGTCTTTCATTCAGGAGAACCAGGGTAAGTGACCTGCTGTTTTATGTGTCATTCAATTTAGAAACCTGCTATTGTGATTCAATTTTTTGAGACTTTTACAGACTTGTTGTTTTTTTATAATTAGCGACAGAAGCCACATTTGAATTGTTTCATTATTTTTCAGGCAATAATGTTGTTGACCAAGGCCTCCATGTTTACCCATTCTCCTTTCAGATCCCAGCAGAGTGAGTTTTCGCAAAAAAAAAAAAAAAAGCGTTTTAATCAACAATTATCACATTTTCACAACTGGCTTTAAGCATTAACACATTTATGTTGTTTTTTTTTGTTCTCTAAAAAATACCCTGTCACTCATTCAGTTTGGCTGCCAGTTTGCCGTCCTCCTTCCGTGGCAGATTTGGGTGGATCACATACATGCTTCAAGCAAACCTGAGCAGGTCGATGAGAATAGACGACAAAGCCACGGCAGTGCTCAATGTCGTCTACAGAGGAAATCCAGATCCAGTGCTGATGGTATCTTTTACAACCTACCTTAGAACACACGCATTCACAATCACATGTCCAAGATGTCTGTTGACTTGGACTCTGCATGAGAATTATCACTGTATGTAACCAATGTATGATTTTCCTGTCAGATTCAACAGCAAGGTAACATTGATAAGAAGATGAACCTCTTCAACTCAGGAAAAGTAGGCATGGATGTGAACATTGAAAAAACAGGCTTCCACCAAGGTAATTTTTGATTGTTATGAATGTTATTGAAATCTCCATTTATTGCACAGATCATCTCAATGATGGGGCTGCAATGACAAATAAACTCTCATCCTGCAGCTGACCATTGTGCAGCTCAAAGTCCCTTTGCTCATGGAACATTTTTATGGTCTACAGATAAGCCACGATTAAATTAGACATGCAGGAAAAACAATGATAGAGATATAATCTACCAGCGTTTTCTAGGTTACTTCTTTAAAGCGCACAGAGCAATGTCAAAATGTCATTTCTAAATAATTGGCAGGTTTTAAATTTAAGAACAGACAACAAGAATTAATGTTAGCAAAGGGAGGATAGAATAATTATTTTAAACATTTAATTTGAGCTAAAGTGATTATAACTGAATTGGGATTCTGGATATGATTGAAATACGATTTACAAAATTACAATTTTACTTGGGAACTATTTGTTGAGACACAAACGATGACAAAACGAGAGACAAGACTTTACAGTTAAACATGGCAATGAAAATACTCTGACGCAGCATGTAGCTTCAAGATTTAAAACAATAAAGTGGATTTAATTTGTCATCTGTCTACAACTAATGTGAACTGCAGATTTAACTTTTCTCATGGGGACACATCTTTAAAGTTCCATTTTCTGCACACGGTACAAGATTATTGTGCATAGGTCCCAGGCAGACCGTAAGACTTGTGTATTAAGCAAAGTTCTTTTTTTTGTTTGTTTTTTTTTCCAGGTGAAGGCATAAAAGTTGTGGCCTCCATTCAGAACAGATCATCTCGAGAAATTAAGCCCAAGTACCATTTGTACAGGAAGTGCAGTTACTTTGCAAAGGGGAAGAGGAAACTCGAAAAGGAAGACATCCTGAGAGAGGTGGGTGAAGCCGTCCCACCTTCTGCAGGTCAGACCGTCACCAGGATCATCACCATCTCTCCCATCACGCCGGTGTCCATCTTAAACTGTAAAATCATCAAAGTAGAGTACAGACTCAGGGTGTGTATCTGTCTTCATAAACGTATGTCACCAGAATGTGTCTGTCTGTACATCAACAGGGCTGTATGACCGTTATGATATTTACAGACTATTTCTGCACCACAGGTTTACCTGGATGTCAAGTATGCTTCAGATCCAGAGATCAAGTTCCCCATAGTCATCCTGCCTGCTCCAGGAGGGCCTGAGGAGGTACAGTTACCTACCAATCCTGCCTATGGATTTGAAGCATTTCCAAACTCCTCAATGCCAGGAGGGACCAGCTTCCTACAAAACCCAACAACCTCTGATCCTTTTGCTCCTCCACCACCCTATGGGTCCTGGATGTACCCCTCCTTGACAGATTCTGATAGAAAGTCCTAGCGCACAAGGCTCTGATTTAATTCACAGTACAACTCAGTGTTAGGCACAACCATGATTAAGTATTGTTTTTGCTTAATCCCTGTTATCAAGATAAATGGCAAGAATGAGAGCACTCAAAAACCTGTCTGTTCTAAATCATAAAAGAATCCTTGGAATAAAGGAAATTGGTTGCTTTAAACAGGGCTGCAAGGTGGCGCAGTTGGTAGCACTGTTGCCTCGCAGCAAGAAGGTCGCCGGTTTGCGTCCCGGTGGGGGCACCGGGATCTTTCTGCGTAGAGTTTGCATGTTCTCCCCGTGCAGTGTGGGTTCTCTCCAGGTTCTCCGGCTTCCTCCCACACGGTTCAAAAACATGTTGAGGTTAATTGGTGATTCTAAATTGTCCGTAGGTGTGAATTGTGAGTGTGCTTGATTGTCTGTCTCTAAGTGTAGCCCTGTGATAGACTGGTGACCTGTCCAGGTGAACCTGCCTTCACCCTAAGTCCGCTGGGATAGACTCCAGCCCCCCCGCGACCCTAGTGAGGATTAAGGTGTATAGATAATGGATGGATGGATGGATGGTTGCTTTAAATACTAAAAAATAGAGAACTATACCTTGAAAGTACTCGAAGAGGCACTGACAGAGATGATAAATTGTGTCTTCAATCTGCTGTACAGTATAAAGCAATATGTCAGGAAATGTAGTTGTACAGTGTATGTGCAGTTTAGGTTATCAGCAAGTGAAGAAATGCTAGGAACGGCTGCATGGTGGCTCGGTTGCTAGCACCGTCGCCTCACAGCTAGAAGATCCACAGTTCGCGTCCTTGTTAGAATGCCTGGGATCTTTCTTTGTGAAGTTCGCATGTTCTGCCTCTGCAGTGTGGGTTCTCTCTTGTAGTCCAAAAACATGTTGAGGTTAATTGGTGATTCTAAATTGTCTGTAGGTGTGAATGTGAGTGTGCTTGGTTGTCTGTCTCTAAGTGTAGCCCTGTGATAGACTGGTGACCTGTCCAGGTGAACCTGCCTTCACCCTGAGTCAGCTGGGATAGACTCCAGCCCCCCCGCGACCCTAGTGAGGATTAAGGTGTATAGATAATGGATGGATGGATGGAAATGCTTGGGATTCTAAAGAGCAAAACATTGCTCCCGTGACTTCCTTGATGTCTGCTTATTAGAGTCAAGAAGTTTAACTTTGAATTTGATGGCAACTTGCTGTGCTGCAGAACACACATTCTTCCCTGTGCTTCCTGACAATGATCTTCTGCTGAAGCAGTAAATGTTAACACAGAGTTCGATGCAGAATGTAATTTTTAACTCTATCAGTTTTGTCTCCACAGTGCACCATATTGGCGCATTCATATGACCATATTTAGTTCTTGTGGTTTTATTATCTTCATTCAAAGGGAAAATGTATGTTGAATTCATGTTTAATGTAATGTTACATGTCATATGTGTAATTATACATCTAAACTAAATGGAAGCTTTCTAATGCGTTTTACTGATTGCCTGATAGTTGAAGAATATAGGCTCTGACACAGTCAAAGCAAAACATTCACATTGTTGTCTTTAAATGTTGTACATTTTCTTGGTGAGGGATCAGTAAAGTTTATCTCATCTTAAACCATTCCAGTGTCACTTTGCATATATGCTTCACATCCTTGCCTTGCTGAAAAACAAATCTTCTCCAAGTCGCAGTTCTCTAGCACATATCAGATTTTCCACCAGTTTTTCCCTACACTTTGCTGCATTCATTTTGCCATGTACCATTACAGCCTTCCAGGGCCTGCTGCCCGGAAAACATCCCCACATCATGGTGGTGCCACAACCATGCTTCCTGATGGGGGTGGTGTGTTTGTGATGATCTGCAGTGTTTGGTGATGACCAAAAAGCTTAAGTTTGGACTCATCAGACCAAACAACTTCTTCCATTTGGCTTCCGAGTCTTCCACATGCTTGTGGTGAACTCTAGTTGAGATTTAACATGAGGTTTTACAACACTGGCTTTCTCTTTGCCACTCTCCCATAAAGCTGTGACTGATAAGTTACACCGGCAACAGCTGTTGTATGTGCAGTCTCTCCCACCCAACCACTGAAGCTTGTAAATCCTCAAGAGGAGTCAAAGGTGTTTGGTGGCCTGCCTTCCTTGTCTCTTTCTTTTACTGTCACTCAGAGGTTTTGAAAATTGTCTGCACTAGCCAGATCTATACATGCACCATTTCCCTTCCATTTTGTAAAGATTGATTTAACTGTAACTGTACGCCAAGGGATATCTTTTGACAGTGTTGCTTGCAGCTATCAAAGTACATGTGTCTAAAGTCAGAACGAAGCTGAACCAATTTTATCTGCATGGCAGGTGTAGAAAAATCCTTTGCTGTTCAAAAAGGACATTAGAGTAAAATGACAAACAAAATAGACTCTTGACCCAGTAAGCATTAGGCCTTGTGGTTTAATGTTTACCAAAACCTGCATGCATGGACACACCTCTTAACGTATAAAACCTCAAGTTCTCATGTTGCCTGCTGATTTGTGCACTTGTCACTTTGTGCAGTGTACAATGTCAAATAATGTTAAGAGCCTTTCAGTGGGATTTAATCCCATAAACGAGAGCAATATTTTCACTAGTGGCGATGTGATTACTGGACAAATTACATTGGAATTGTCGAAAGAATGCAAAATAGACTCACTCTACGTGAAGCTGAAGGGAAAAGCAAAAGTCAAATGGACAGAAAGTTACGGAAGAACAGTCGTAACATACCATAGCAAAGACAAGTACTTCAGTCTCAAGCATTTTGTCATTCAGGAGAACCAAGGTAAGTGACCTGCTTACTATGTGTTATTCAATTTAGAAAGCTGCTATTGTGATCAAATTTTATTTATGTGAAATCTATTTTGTGCCTCATGTCATTTGGACAATTGTTTATGAAATATAACTTGTTGTTATCAGTATTAATCTGAGAGCTGCAAGGTGGTAGAGTTGGTAGCATCGTTGCCTCGCAGCAAGAAGGTCGCCGGCTCATATCCCGGTGAGGACACCCAGGATCTTTCTGTGTGGAGTTCACATGTTCTCCCCGTGCAGCGTGGGTTCTCTCCGGGTTCTCTGGCTTCCTCCCACAAGTCCAAAAACATGTTGAGGTTAATTGGTGATTCTAAATTGTCCGTAGGTGTGAATGTGAGTGTGCTTGGTTGTCTGTCTCTAAGTGTAGCCCTGTGATAGACTGGTGACCTGTCCAGGGTGTCACCTGCCTTCAGCCCCCCTGTGATCCTAGTGAGGATTTTAATGGGTGAGGT